ACATGAAGTCTAGCTTTGTCCTGCATTAGGAGGAACCCAGGGCCAACCGCACCAGGATATAGTCACACAAGGGGTCTAAGGATCTTATCTTGGTACCTAATGGCAGTCGTGCTATCTCTGACAGACTCTGAAGACAAAAATGCCACCCCATACCTTTACTAACCCACTGCCAAACTGTTCATGCTGAAGGATATTGAAGGCAGCAGATCAATCTCCATGGTTCCTACAGACTCTGTCACATCTGTCACACATCAGTATGAGCCCGCTTTCATCTGTGAAGAATGTAGAGAACTAGTGGTGAATTTGCCAATGCTAGTATCTCTCTGGCGTCTCTGGCCAATGCCAAGCATCCTGAACGGTGCTGGGCTGTGAGCACAACCCCCCACCTGTGGACATTATGCCCTCAAACCAATTTCATTAAGTCGGTTTCTAACCGTTTGCACAGACACATGAACATTTGTGGCCTGCTGGAGGTCATGTTGCAGGTTCTGATAGTGTTCCTCCTGTTTCTCCTTGCACAAAGACTGAGATGGTGACCCTGCTGCTAGGTTATTGCCCTCCTACAGCCTCCTCCACATCTCCTGGTGTACTGGCCTGTGTCCTGGTAGCGCCTCTAGCCTTTGGACGCTACTGTACGCTGACAGACAAAGCAAACTTTCTTTTGCACATTTCGCATTGATGTGGCCTCCTTGATGAGCTGCACTACCTGACCCACTTGTGTGGGTTTTATAGTCCATCTTATTTTAGTTTTAGAGTGTGAAAGTAACACCATCATTTAAAAGGGACCAAAATATCAGCCAGAAAGAATAGGTACTCAGAAGTGGCCTGTGGTCACCACCTGCAGAACCACTCCTTTATTGAGTGTGCCTACAAGTTGACAATAATTTCCACCCGTTGTCTATTCCATTTGCACAACAGCATGTGGAAATGAATGTCAATCAGTGTTGCTTCCTAAGAAGACAATTTAATTTTACAGAAATTTGAAGTTATATTGTATTGTTTATTTTTTCACTTTATTTAATGATCAGTGTGTGTGTGTGTGTGTGTGTGTGTATGAATATACACTACCTTTCAAAAGTTTGGGGTCACCCAAATAATTTTGTGTTTTCCTGAAAAGTCACACTTATTCACCACCATACATTGTGAAATGAATAGATAATACAGTCAAGACATTTTTACATCAAACTTTGCTTTCGTCAAAGAATCCTCCATTTGCAGCAATTCCATTATTGTAGACCTTTGGCATTCTAGCTGTTAATTTGTTGAGGTAATCTGGAGAAATTGCACCCCACGCTTCCAGAAGCAGCTCCCACAAGTTGGATTGGTTAGATAGGCACTTCTTGCGTACCATACGGTCAAGCTGCTCCCACAACAGCTCAATATGGTTCAGATCTGGTGACTGCGCTGGCCATTCCATTACCGGTAGAATACCAGCTGCCTGCTTCTGCTCTAAATAGTTCTTGCACAATTTGAATGTGTGTTTAGGGTCATTGTCCTGTTGTAGGATGAAATTGGCTCCTATTGGCTTAACAGATGGCGTCAGGCATTCTTCCAGCATCTTTTAATTTGTTCTGCGTCTCACAAACGTTCTTCTTTGTGATCCAAACACCTCAAACTTGGATTCATCCGTCCACAACACTTTTTTCCAGTCTTCCTCTGTCCAATGTCTATGTTCTTTTGCCTATCTTAATCTTTTTCTTTTATTGGCCAGTCTCAGATATGGCTTTTTCTTTGCCACTCTGCCCTGAAGCCAAGAATCCCGCAGCCGCCTCTTCATTGTAGATGTTGATGTTTTAAAAAAAATGTCTCCAATCTACTCACTTTGGGTTCAATTAGGTTCGTAAGGAGATTCCACTCTTTGGTAGGTATTTAATGCAAGTTTTAATATTCCTGATGCATCAGTTTGGTTTGTGGTATCAGATCTGACCCAAAAGTAACAAAAAAAAAAATAAAAATAAAAGATTTGAGATCTCAAAAG